CGGTACTAGTCCCTCTAGGATTTTCCAGGCGTATATAATCATGTGTCTCTCCCGCCTGCGTTCCAGGGAATACAGTTTTAGGAACCTCAAGCGCTCTCAGTAATTGAGGTGTTTTATCTTCGTTTTGCGCGCTGTGAAGGTTCTCTGTACATTTTCTAGGTCAGCAATTTCACCTGCCTTGAAAGGTGCTGTTAGTGTGCAGCAATATTCCAGCCTAGATAGAACAAGTGACCTGAAGAGTGTCATCATGGGCTTGGCCTCCCTAGTTTTGAAGGTTCTCATTATCCATCCTGTCATTTTTCTAGCAGATGCGATTGATACAATGTTATGGTCCTTGAAGGTGAGATCCTCCGACATGATCACTCCCAGGTCTTTAACGTTGGTGTTTCGCTCTATTTTGTGGCCAGAATTTGTTTTGTACTCTGATGAAGATTTAATTTCCTCGTGTTTACCATATCTGAGTAATTGAAATTTCTCATCGTTGAACTTCATATTGTTTTCTGCAGCCCACTGAAAGATTCGGTTGATGTCCGCCTGGAGCCTTGCAGTGTCTACAATGGAAGACACTGTCATGCAGATTCGGGTGTCATCTGCAAAGGAAGACACGGTGCTGTGGCTGACATCCTTGTCTATCTCGTATATGAGGATGAGGAACAAGATGGGAGCTAGTACTGTGGAACAGAGCTTTTCACCGTAGCTGCCTCGGACTTTACTCTGTTGACGACTACTCTCTGTGTTCTGTTAGTGAGGAAATTATAGATCCATCGACCGACTTTTCCTGTTATTCCTTTAGCACGCATTTTGTGCGCTATTACGCCATGGTCACACTTGTCGAAGGCTTTTGCAAAGTCTGTATATATTACATCTGCATTCTTTTTATCTTCTAGTGCATTTAGGACCTTGTCGTAGTGATCCAATAGTTGAGACAGACAGGAGCGACCTGTTCTAAACCCATGTTGCCCTGGGTTGTGTAACTGATGGGTTTCTAGATGGGTGGTGATCTTGCTTCTTAGGACCCTTTCAAAGATTTTTATGATATGGGATGTTAGTGCTATCGGTCTGTAGTTCTTTGCTGTCGCTTTACTGCCCCCTTTGTGGAGTGGGGCTATGTCTGTTGTTTTTAGTAACTGTGGGATGACCCCCGTGTCCATGCTCCCTCTCCATAGGATGGAAAAGGCTCGTGATAGGGGCTTCTTGCAGTTCTTGATGAACACGGAGTTCCATGAGTCTGGCCCTGGGGCAGAGTGCATGGGCATGTCATTTATCGCCTGTTCGAAGTCATTTGGCGTCAGGATAACATCGGATAGGCTTGTGTTAACCAAATTTTGTGGCTCTCTCATAAAAAATTCATTTTGATCTTCGACTCTCAGTCTGGTTAGCGGCTTGCTAAAAACTGAGCCATATTGGGACTTGAGTAGCTCACTCATTTCCTTGCTGTCATCTGCGTAGGACCCACCTCACATAAATTACTTGCAGGTAATAATTCAGGTAATACCCTCTAAGTCTCCTGCAGGTAATTTGCTAGCATAATAATACTTCAGAGGATAACAAAAAGATTAGGTGACGAAAGTACTGATATCAGATTGGATAGAGAGAGTATAGAGTAGGTGAATGTATTCAGATATTTGGAAGTGGACGTGTCAGCAGATGGGTCTATTAAGGATGAGGTGAATCACAGAACTGATGAGGGGAAAAGGGTGAGTGGTGCACTTAGGAGTCTGTGGAGACAAAGAACTTTGTCTGTGGAAGCAAAAAGGGGAATGTATGAGAGTATAGTTGTACCAACACTCTTGTATGGGTGTGAAGCATGGGTGATGAATGTTGCAACAAGGAGAAGGCTGGAGGCAATGGAGATGTCATGTCTGTGTGGTGCGAATATAACGCAGAGAATTCGTAGTTCGGAAATTAGGAGAAGGTGTGGGATTACCAAAGCTATTATCCAGAGGGCTGAGGAGGGGTTGTTGAGGTGGTTCTGACATGTAGAGAGAATGGAACAAAACAGAATGACTTCGAGAGAGCATAAATCTGTATTGGAGGGAAGGCGGGGTAGGGATCGGCCTAGGAAGGGTTGGAGGGAGGGGGTAAACGAGGCTTTGTGTGCGAGGCTTGGACTTAAAGCAAGCATGCATGAGCGTATTTGATAGGAGCGAATGGAGACAAATGGTTTTTAATACTTGATGTGCTGTTGGAGTGTAAGCAAAGTAACATTTATGAAAGGATTCAGGGAAACCGACATTCCGGACTTGAGTCCTGGAGATGGGAAGTACAGCGTCTGTACTCTGAAGGAAGGGTGTGAATGTGGCAGTTTTATAAATGCAGTATAAAGCACCCCTCCTGCAAGACAGTGATGGAGTGAATGATGATGAAAGTTTTTCTTTTTCGGGCCACGCTGCCTTGGTGGGAATCGGCCGATGCATTAAAAAAAATAATAATTCACACAATCTTTTGTAGCCCAACCTGCTAATAATTTTAAACTTCCTGTTTAGCCACTCTGATAAATTAATATTTTATAACCATTTAACTGTGGGGTAGGATGGAAAAAAAATTGCGTGTTTGGGAAGATTTTGAAAAACAAAAAAAAATTCTTGCAGATCGATAGAGCTTGTTTTCTCTGGATCAAATGAGAGAAATCTAATAGAAAACTTCCGATTTTGTTGTGTGATGAAGTTGGTGAAGAAAATGATCACTAATTGGCAACAGCGGCGTTAAAGTTCCTGCCATGTTACCATTTTACAATTTATTGACCTTAATATATGATTGTTTTTCTGATTTTTTAATTGCTTTTAATGTTTGATACTATACATACTAGGTTCTTATCATATTAGATGTAATTCAAGGTGTCTTAGCATTGCAAACATTGCTTCACTTGCAATAATAGTAATAAATACGGAATAATGTTTTTAAACTATTTTGGTCTTCTAAGACTATGTACAAGGAGTACTTATAACATTTCAGTTGTTTCAGAGGAGTCAAAGGAATGAGGAGTACGGAAACAGGGGAAGGGAAAGGAGGGGTTATGGAAAACTAGAGGAGATAATAACTGGAACTTAGTATACTACAAACCGTGATCATACAGTAGAGCGGAAAAATAATGTGAGAGACCTAGGAGTGGTAATGTCTGAGGATCTCACTTTCAAGGATCACAACAGTGCCACGATGACAACTGCAAAGAAAATGATAGGATGGATAATGAGAACGTTCAAAACAAGAGATGCCAAGCCAATGATGATCCTTTTTAAATCACTTGTTCTATCAAGGCTGGAATACTGCTGTACATTAACATCTCAGTTCAAAGCAAATGAAATTACAGTTCTCGAGTGTACAGAGAACCTTTACTGCACATATAAGTTCCATCAAACACCTCAACTACTGGGAACGCTTGGAAGCACTTGACTTGTACTCGCTCGAACGCAGGCGAGAGAGATATATCATAATCTACACTTGGAAATTCCTAGTAAGAATGGTCCCGAATATGCACACAGAAATCACTCCCTACGAAAGTAAAAGACTGGGCAGGCGATGCAAAATACCCCCAATGAAAAGTAAGGTCTCCCAACAAGCATAAGGAGGATTACCAAAAGGCCCCTGGCTGCCTTCAAGAGGGAGCCGGACAGTTACTTAAAGTCGGTGCCGGGTCAACCGGGCCAGCAGCAACAGCCTGGTTGATCAGGCCCTGATCCACCGGGAGGCCTGGTCGTGGACCGGGCCGCGGGGACGTTGATCCCCGGAATACCAGGTAGGGGAAAGAGGGTTATAGGAGGCGACGACCTAGTGTTCACCCAGGTAAGGTCGGAGACGACCAGCATTACACTAAAACTCGCGCATTACTGACTTTACTGAGTTATATATATTGTATATATACTATACACTTATTTTATTATATTTATTTTTACCATTCTGTTCTACTAAGGCTATGTATAATCAATACTTAAAGTATTGCAATTGCTTTAGAGTACAATATTCATCAGAACATAGAAATTATTCACACTATCTTTACTGGGTTATATACCTAGTGTTCTTTGTGGCTGAATTCCACTGATAGTATCACGAAGTTGTAATAAATTTGGACTGAATAAGGGATCTTTGACCCACTTGCACACCCTACTTGCTGGCAGGGAAGCTGGTGGTTGAACAACAGCTCCTGGTTTCTATGTTTACTTTTGCTACCAGTACCTACGCACTAGTACGTACCTACGTACCAGTACCTACGTACTAATACGTACCTACGTACCAGTACCTACGTACTAGTACGTACCTACGTACCAGAACCTACATACTAGTACGTCAGGCACAGTACCAGTACGTACGTACTAGTACGTCAGGCACAGTACCAGTACGTACGTACTAGTACGTCAGGCACAGTACCAGTTTGTATGTACTAGTAGGTCAGACACAGTTAAAGGGATGAAGAGAAGCTGATGTGATAAATAATTGATCAAGAATCGTAAATATTCTCATATTATATATTTTATCTTACTGAAATATTGCATAAATTTACATTTTCTTGTATTTTCAGTAACTTAATTTTTAGTTACATATCATCACAATTTTTTTGTGATGATATACATTTAGTAATGTTTATTACGTTGGTAATGTAGGTATATTACATCCAACACTTTCTAGAAAAATAAAATGTGAAATGGAACTAAAACTATGTATGTTAAATAATATTTATTTGTTTAGTTTTAAAAAAATAATTATAAGAAAATATATAAAAGCATTTAAAGCAAAGAAAAGTTTGAAAGCAGAACAAATTTGAACATTAATTGTGGTTTATGGAGTTGAAACTTTAACAAATGTGAAAATTATTAATATATATATATATATATATATATATATATATATATATATATATATATATATATATATATATATATATATATATATATATATATATATATATATATATATATATATATATATATATTAAAAATCTATGAAATCTATGTACAAATATATAATGTCTGGCGTGTTCCACTTACATTTATATAAATCTATGAGTTTACAACAGTTTTGGCAAGCAACAGTTTAGTAAAGATGTAGTCTGGTGTGGCCTGACCAGCCATCACCTTGTGTTCCTCTGTATGTCCGGTTCAGCAGTTTACCTTACTACTTGTAGTGTCCTCTTGAGGAAAATTAACTTGAATTCTCGAAGTAAAGAAAGACACAGACAAAAGTTCAACAGCAGCTATCATTGTATTATAAACTGTTTACAACAGTTGAGAATCAAGTGACTCTGAAGTTGGGTGTCTGAAATAGGCTGGAGTGTAAGGCTACCACCATTGCGTTACACCCATTACCATTAACAATGTCTAGAAGACCGGTGTTAGGTACAGGCCGGAGGGAGACGCTGGTGCTGATATGGTTAACCCATTACCGTTAACTCCGTTGCCATTCGTTAAACCATTTCCGTTGACTCCATTACCGTTTGTGAAACCATTTCCGTTGACTCCATTACCGTTTGTGTAACCATTTCCATTGACTCCAATACCGTTTGCGTGACCATTACCACTGACTCCATTACCATTGTTGAATCCATTTCCGTTGACCCCATTGCCATTTGTCAAGCCATTACCGTTTGTGTAGCCATTGCCATTGATAAAACCATTTCCATTGCCATTAGTTAAACCATTACCATTCGTGTATCCATTGCCATTAACCCCATTACCGTTTCTGTATATATTACCGTTAATTCCATTGCCATTTGTATAACCATTACCATTAATTACACCATTACCATTAGTGTAACCATTGCCATTTGTGTAACCATTACCGTTGCCATTAATTAAGGCATTTCCATTGGTGTACCCATTTCCATTAGTGTAACCATTTCCATTAACTACATTGCCATTTCCGTTACCGTTGCCATTTCCATTTGAATATCCATTACCATTTGAGTAGCCATTGCCAATAACAGAGGCTAAACCATTTCCATTAACGCCATTGCTGTATCTATTTCCAATGGTAGTGAATCCATTTCCATTAAGTGCACCATTTCCGTTTAATCTGTTGGCGTAAATTCCATTACCATTAATAATACCATTAACGACGCCGTTGGAGTATCCATTACCATTACCATTGACGACTCCGATCTGAGCATTGAGACCATAGAACTGCTGGGCGGTGGAACAGTCGAAGTTGTACCACCAATCACACACGAAGTACTGCTGGTTGAAGATGGTACCGTTGGGACACAGGAAAGAGTCGCTCCTGCCATCTGCCTGACAGATGTGGAACACCTGTGAAAGACAACAATAAAAGAAGCAGCGTATTATTACCGACGGAAGTGAAACACCGGTCCAGGACAATAGCTTCAGAGAAGCAGTGCATTAGTATTGTACATGTGAAAGACCTGCCACTTCTCGTATTGCTACTGGTATGTAACTTGAAGATCTTTAGTGACGTATTTAAACATGTTCCTGAACTTAGGACAATGTTCGACTGCTCCTTTATGCCGGGTATCACAAACTTGTCTTGGTATGAGACTTGTTAGTGTTATTTTCATTTTTTCTGGTTTTATCATAATTTGCATATTGAATTATTATCTGATTGACTGCAAAAATAAATTAGCAATTAAAATTCCAAGATCTCACTACGACAAAAATGTTGAATCATTAATTTAAAACAATTAGTTCACAATCACAAGCTGCTCATCGTGTAGGAAACATAAAAGTTTTGCATTAGGTGTTTGAATATTCTTCATGAGAAGTTAACCTATTGAACAGCTACAGAAAGCACCATCATTGCTGCAAAAAATAAAATAGGCTTCAAGAAATACTGATTGCCGTGGTATGAATGGACAGTATATAGCCATTGACTTGTTCATGAAATTAGGGAGAATTAACTATATCAATATGTTCAACAGCTGCCCTCTTAGGCAGTGTTCGATTTACCTGACTTAAAAGCCTCAAGGGCAGAATAATAATAAAATGACAGCTGACCACTGCGTCAAGTCTCACCTGACAGCTGGTCTCAGGTATAGTGTAAGACTCACTTGACAGCCAACTTCAGGGACAGGATGAGATTTACTTGACAGCCAGCTTCGGGGGCATTATTTTACTCACCTGACAGCTAACCTCGGGGAGAGTATGAGATTCACTCGACAGCCAGCCTCGGGGGCAGAATGACACTCACTGACAACGGCCTCTAGGGCAGGTATCAGCGGTAGTATCCAGGGATCTGTCCACCGCAGGTAAATCCTGTGTCGGGTACGTAAGCCAGGATGGGATAGTCCACGCCGGGTTCCCCTCTTATAGCATTAACCAGGGCGGTGATGGGATCCTCCAGTCCGTTTTCGTTAGCCACTCCGTTGCTGTATCCACCATTTCCATAGCCATTCCCATTGGTTACACCATTACCATTTCCAATAATTCCACCATTGACATATCCATTGCCATTTCCGTTAGAATAACCACCATTTCCGTTTGTGAATCCATTTCCATTTGAATATCCATTAGCAACTGCTCCATTTCCGTTAAATCCGTTGGAAAAGCCTCCATTTTCATTTGCGTAACCACCGTTACCATTTATTTGACCTCCGTTGCCGTTTCCATTTGCGAAGGCGCCATTTCCATTTGAGTAGCCACCGGTGCCAATTGCGTTACCATTAGTGTAACCACCATTACCATTACTGTGGCCTCCATTACCGTTTCTGTATCCATTGCCATTGCCTCCATTGCCGTTAAATCCATTTGTTGGTGCCAAGTAATTCAGCTGTACCCCTAGTGATGCTCCAAGAAGAGCTGTACGAAGAGAGAGAAATGTTTATTAAGCAGAAGTAGCGACCGTCAGGACGCTTCACTTCACGACAGTGTTAACAAAGCATCTCTGCCATTCTTCTACTAGACTACGTTAGTAAAATGTGTTATAATCATAATTGTTGAGAGTCTATTGCTTTCATATTCGATGATTGATTGCATAACATTATTCGAGTATACTCACTTGCAAATATATATGTGTTATAATCCTCATCGTGAACCGTTGTTGAGTTAGCGGATTTTGATTTAAGTGTGGTGTGTTATTGCCCGACAGTTGAGCTAGTGAAGGTAGTGTTGAGGAAGAGGAGGCATGAAGAGTTGTGGTGGTGTATCGACTCGCTGTTGCTTTATATACCTGGTCGTGTCCGGGAGACTCTCCAGGTCAGTCAAGGTCGCGTGATAGTGAGACTAACTTGCTGGGTCACTATCGTGGCTGGAAATAAGAACTAAACTGTATATTGTTTCAAAGACCGACAGGTTAAACACTAATCCTCATTAAAGAAATTATTTGGAGCAGTGTTATGAGAATTTAATATTCATTATATATTTACTGGCATTATTTCTCTGATGATACATGGAATAATGTCATATATAAGATAAGAGAAAGGAAATAAAATTTAAGTAATATATACAGTGAAAAAACAAACTGCAATCTTATCAAAATGCTGAAATCAGGTAGAGGTAAATAAAATAATAGAATGCTTAGTATGTTCAGTATGTATGGGAGAAGGAAAGATACTTAAGGAAGGTCGTAGGTAATGTCTTGTGAGTGCACGACATATATATATATATAATATATATATATATATATATATATATATATATATATATATATATATATATATATATATTATATATATGTCGTGCCGAATAGGCAGAACTTGCGATCTTGGCTTAAATAGCAACGCTCATCTTGACATATAGGACAAGTGAAAATTTGTGTATGCAATAATTTCGCCAAAATCATTCTGAACCTAACGAAAAAAATATATTTCACTGTGTTTGTTTAGTATTAAATTATTGTAAACAAATCTAAAATATATTTTGTTAGGTTAGGCGAAAATAAATTGTTCTTGTTATAATAGGGTTTGGTAAGTTTTGTCAGATTCTTTTGGTGCAAAATTAAAATTTTTTACATTATCATTAATGAAAAAATATATCTTTAAATGTATAAGAGAAAATTTTAGAAAAGACTTAATTTTAAATGAGTTCTTGCTAATTGACCAGTTTTACATATTCGGCACGACATATATATATATATATATATATATATATATATATATATATATAATATATATATATATATATATTATATATATATATATATATATATAATATATATATATATGTAATATGTATATACCTAGTGCAACACTGGCCTACAAACAGCCAAATTGGGATGGCCTCATTGATGAAATGGTGCTTGCCAACATGCTTAGGGCTATAACGTCAGACAGAGAGATTTCCCGTCTCCAAGCTGTGAGTGCACATCGCACTGGTGACTTCCTCCAAACAGTTTCCCATTTCGGCAATGGGAACACGCCTCGACCCTAGGATCCTCCGTATTGAAGTGGATCTCCACTTTGCTGCCCAATTCACAGGGAATATATGTGTATTTGCAGCGATGCGCAAGCCGATCAATATGGGCTACATGGTGTTAACTGTTCCAAAACTAAGGGCTGGCATGGAACACACCATGAAGTCAACGACATCATAAAAAGAACCCTTGCTACAGCTGGATGCCAGTGGAGAGCCCGACCATCAGCAGCCAACAATACCCACAACCAAGCAAACTGTCCAGATGGGATCACCCTCTATCCTTGGAAGAATGGCAAGCTCTTAGCATGGGACTATACCTGTGTGTTGACGCTGACTGACACTGCATCAATCCAGTGTCGGGCGACTGGAGGAGCTGCTGATCACATGGAGGAGTACAAGATCAGCAAGTTCAGGGACTTAGGCAAACAGAATCAGTTTATCTCAGTGGGATCAGAGACCTTGGCATCATGGGGAAAAAATGCCACACGTTTCTGAAAGAACTTGCTTCCAGACTCATCGACACCACCAGGGACCCAGGGCAGCCACTTTCATGTTCCAGCGTCTCAGCGGGACCATACCAGACGGGAAATGCTTGCTACATACTTGGCTTGCTTCCGGCTTTGGAGGAGCTGGAGGAGATTCATAATCTTTAATATACTGTTCCAATGTATTCTTGTTTGTGTTTTTTGTCAATGTATTCTGTGTATCAGTAAAATTTCATACAGAATATAAATATAGGGGTGGTAGGAGACGAAAATATTCAAACAGCTCCAGAAGAACCATGAGTTTCCCTGGGGTACGTTTATTGCTTCTCTGAGGATGAGGGTCCACAGTAAAGTTCTGGAGGTGGAACCTCTATAATAATATATATATAATATATATATATATAATATATATATATATTATATATATATATATATATATATTATATATATATAAAATTATATATATTATATATATATATATATATAAATATATATATTATATATATTTATATATATATATATATATTATAATATATATTATATATATATATATATATATATATATATATGTATATGTAAGCAAGTATATATGCACATACGTATTTAGTGCTAAATGAATGAGAAACACTTCTAGCATTTTTGTTCTGCAGGCTAAACATATACATGTGAACTCTTCTCAAAAATTATTTTTTTTTTCTCATCTTTCCATATATTATTGGGGGTAAATTTACTATTTATGTTCTTGTCATCAGTGTTTTAAAAACAATTTATGTGGAACTGCATAATCCGGGGCCCAAGACTGTTCAACAGTTTTCCACCAGCAAAAGGGGAATTTACCAACAGGCCCCTGGCTGCCTTCAGAGGGAGCCGGACAGATACTTGAAGTCGGTGCCGGATAAACCCGGGCCACCATTACAGCCTGGTTGATCAGGCCCTGATCCACCGGATGCCTGTTCGTGGACCAGGCCGGGGAGGCGTTGATCCCGGGAGTACCAGGTAGGGAAAGAGGGGTATAGGAGGCGACGACCTAGTGTTCCCCGGGTTTGGGTCGTAGACGACCAACATTGGGTTTTATATTGTATATATACTATGCACTATTTTATTATATTTTTTTTTTACCATTTGTTCTACTAAGGCATGTATAATCAATATTTAAAAGTATTGCAATTTCTTTAGAGTACAATATTCATCAGAACATAGAAATTATTCACACTATCTTTACTGGGTTATATACCTAGTGTTCTTTGTGGCTGAATTCCACTGATAGTATCACGAAGTTGTAATAAATTTGGACTGAATAAGCGATCTTTGACCCACTTGCACACCCTACTTGCTGGCAGGGAAGCTGGTGGTTGAACAACAGCTCCTGGTTTCTATGTTTACTTTTGCTACCAGTACCTACGCACTAGTACGTACCTACGTACCAGTACCTACATACTAGTACGTCAGGCACAGTATCATGTGGGAGTTCGACACGTGGATTGGGTAAAGAAATACTCACGTAGGCTGGTAGTACGTATAATTACAGACAAGGTGAATAGCGCCCTTACAGCCGTAACCTAGTCTCTCTGCTCTCTCTCGTACAACTGACACTGACTGACTGGCCGCCCACAGTACCCATATGTGAGAGGGTCTTTGAATACTGCCAGGTCAGCGCAATATGAGTTCAGACAGTGACTCAGGCAGAGACGGTTGGTCGTGAGTCAACTGGCACAGTGGTTACTGGTAACTGGTTACTACTACTGAGACTCTCGAACCTACTTTGATTTTGGATGGCTTTGCTCGAGTGTTTGTGACTCTTGTAAATTCAGCTGTTGATTTATGAAGTGTTTCACGGATTCTTCTAAAAACACTTTGAGCTAAGCTGGTACGAGTTGCTATGAAATCATCAGGGTTGTAATTTGGTTTCGGATTAGAATATAACAACTCATAAGGCAAACGTTTATCTACACCATACAATGCATAATGTGGAGTGTCACCTATAGAAACATTGTAAGCAGAATTTTAGCACACTGCACATCAGGTATAACTTCATCCCAAGTTTCACTGTTGGATTGATAGTGGCTCTCAAGACATCAAGTACTTTCTTATTGTTCAAATTTTGCTAACCCATTGCTGGCAGGATGATGAGGGAAAAATGGTGGATTTAGAATCTTGTACAAGGTACACAAATTTTCAAGAATCCATTACAGAATTCACCCCCCATTATCCCGTTACTAGGGACTTAGGTGTGGTATGCCTGCAGATAATGTGTTCTTAAACGCTTTAGCTACTGTCTCGGCAGTCCCTTTTCTGCAGTAGGAACTAACTCACAATAATCTGGTGAAATGGTCTACCATAACACCACAGATGTTTGTTACCTTGGAGGAACATTGGAATTATTAACAAATCTAGCGCAACTCTTCCCACGGTACGCTAGTAGTTGGATATACTTGGATTGGATTAGACCATTAGCATACCTTTAATGTTGCATTCAGACACAACATTTTCTTAACATACTCAGAAATATCATTGCCATACGAGGCCAAAAGTAATTTTTTTTTTTTTTTCAATCTGGCTTGTTTACTAACGATCATACCAAGGTGTGCAACACTCTGGTACACGTGAACTAGCTGTAAGCTACATTTCTCTAGTGACTGTGGAAATTACTAATTTACTGGTATACCTTCTGCTAGGAGTACCCAACTCGGACTCGGGCTGTTATCGATACAGTAATTCTTGGTTTCATGAAACAAAGTCACTGATGTGCTGGTGGCTTCAACATCAGAATAAGCTCTTCCCTGGAGCAGGAATCGAATCACACCAGACTACATGGGATCTGTTCGTTGAGCATTCTTACACTTCAGCACTAAATGGAGGTCTGCAGTTACTATACTAACAAGTCGCGATAATGCATCTGCGACTACATATTGACTTGCCAGTAAATGCTCAAAGGTGGGATTGACTCTGGATAGTCAAGGTCCTTCTGGCTAACCTTCCATAGGGTTGTTGTTCTGGAATAAAAGGGTATCAAGTGGAGCATGGTCTTCAAGACATGAACAGAGTACTGATAAATAATGTCTCGGAAGTGCTTTAAAGACCATACTATCCTAAAGCTTCTTGCTCAGTTACTTATAATTACGTTCAGCCCTTTGTAAGGACTGGCTACAAATGCAACGCGTTGTACTTTCCATCGTTCTTCTGAGCTAGT